AAAGCTAGATTCCAGTCTCCTGATACCACCCTTTTTTTCCTCGTTACTGGAAATATCATTCCAGTCTCCAACAGCCATCCAACAATTACCCCAATTCTTTCTTCCCTCCACCAAGAACTCCCATTGGCTTCTTCTATGAATCTTTTCAGAGCTCATATACACAAAAATCATCCAAATCCAGTTATTCAGTCCCCCTCCTCTGACTTCCATTTGAATGCAAAATTCATTCCCAATAATCTGTTTAACTTCAGTGTCCAAATCCCACATAACTAGCAAACCTCCTTTGGTTCCATTAGGTTTCTGAAGGTGCCACCTGCTCTCAAACCCCAATTTCTTACATACTGTTTTAGTGAACTCATAAGACTTTTTCGTTTCTGATAAAAATATAATATTTGGGTGGTGGACTCTCCTTGAATCCTTAATCTGGGAAACTGTACATGGCCCATCCAGCCCTCTACAGTTCCACACCATAGCCTTCATCTGTCACCTCGGGGCCACTTTAGGCTGGCCTTCTCCACCTGGCTTTCCTCATGTGTTGTTTTCATCCTTTTGTCATCAACTCCTTTCTCAATGTTATCCCTCATTTCTGAGGTTCCTTCTCTACTTATCTTTAGTGATGGCTCTGAGTTTACACCTTCAGCTTTGGAGGATGATGCATGATTGCAATCAGGCTGCTTAGATGACCCTTCATTCCTACTTTTTAGAGTAATTTTCCTTTTCCAGGTTGATCTTTTCTTGCCCTCAATCTGTTTCTCCTCCTCAGCAACTTTCATCACTGCCCTTTCCTCATGTTGAGTAACTTCTGGGGTTCCCCCTTCCATTTGGATCTCTGCTTCAACGGCCATCATCTGGTTATCCTCTGATAAGGGATCCTCAGAGCCTTCATTAGCTTTCAAACACCCTTCCTCATTTTCGATATGATTTTCTTCTGGGCTTGCCTCGCTCGATTGCCCAACCTTCACCCCTTCTGGAGTTAGCTTAGGGTGATCTCCCTCCTCACTATGAATATTGGCAGACACCCAGAGAATCCTGGTGGGACTGAGAATTGATCACATTTATTTTCTCTCCAGAGCCACTGGAAACACTGTATCTGCCCCCTGGGTAAGTTTCAACAACTTTCAACCATTCACCGTATTGCCCTTCAAACACTAATTTCTTCTCAATGTCATCAGTTCTTTTCTTACATCCCCTGTCCAGGTGTCCGATTTTCCCACAATAATAACACAGGTTCACAAGCCTCTCGTATCTGAATGCCACCATAACTCTCTCCTCTCCAAGGTTCACTATGGTACACCTAGGAATAGATTCTTTTAAATTCAATAACACCAAGATTTTGAGAAAACTCCCTTGCTCTCCCCCTAATTTGCAGACAACCACATTTTTCACTCCATTAAAGATTTGCCCAATACGAATTCCGACATCCGTGCTCATCCAGTGAAGAGGTACATTAAGCACTTGTACCCAAATGTTTAGCTCATCAAAGCATTTATGCTCGCTATGCATACCGGGGAACCATTCTTTTAGGATGAGGTATTGGTTTTCAAATAACCAATTATGTCCAGCTGCAACCTTCTTTCTGTCTTCATCGGAAGCGAAAATAAATTGAAAGAAATTAGAGCATATCTCCTTCACTTCCATGGCTTGCTGGAGTTTCCATATAGCGGTCATCGTACGTTTAATCCCCATCATACTCGCCGGACGATCCCCCACAATTTTACCGAACAAGCTCCTGCCGCATTCCTCCGTACTCATCTTAATATCGTCAGCTTTAATTTGAACTCCCCCTGCTTCCTTATCAGATAATGATATGGAATAGAGCTTTCTCAACACATCCTCCCCCACCTTGCCTCCAATGTCGCCTCCCGGAGATTTGTTAACCATTATCCCCAAACCCAAGAAACCCTAAATCACAGAAACCCCCTAACGACACAACCCTCTAGTAAAGCAAACCCTCAGACTGAGCAGACGCACACTAAGAAGAAAGTGCCAATCAACGATCGGAAAATATACCCTTCACCAAAGGAAATTAACTCCCACCGGAAGAATTTCGCTCCCACCGGAAGAATATCGCTCTCAATTCAATAGTTATAATAAGGAATGATATTAAAATACAATTAATACATGTAACATGACCATAAATAATCAACATATTTATTGTAATCCGAACTTAATTATTTTTTGTTTGGAATTAAATTAAAATTTATCCAAGCCTAATAACAAAGTATATAATTTTGCCACATAGGATTCCGAAGCACCAGAAGCAGCAACGTAGGCTCAGCGCGTTCTGTATTAATTTATAGGGGGGATTTTAGTCTCTCCAAACTTTTCATAGTTATGACGTAAATTTTAATAGTTTATTAACTAGTCTGTATTTATTTTTAGACACTATTTCAAATAAAATATTTACTGTCATCTAAGTCAAATTAGTGCGCAGCCGTGCGATGTACGGTAAACAATATTAAATAACTAAATAATAATCATAAATTAAAAGGTATTGATAAATATATTAAATAATAATTAAAAATTAAATATACGTGGATAACATGTGATATAATTTTTGGGCTGACAGATTAAACAAGGCATGTATATTTGAGATTGAAAAGATATGGATGAAAGTACATAATACGAATGATACGAACAAATTAGAGTATATCCAATGCTCAAATGTTATTGTGGCAAATTACATTCCATAACAACACATTTAGCAATATCACAATTTTTTATTCTCCAATGTACAATGTGATCGCAAATGTTGTGATAATGTGAACATAATTAATGTCTACAATGTAGAGAAGAATGTGGTCATCCACATTCTCCTCCACACTCTAGCTAGCCAATGAGGAGAAGAGAGAGGATTATTGTTACCTATTCTAATTCTAATCTATCTAACTGTTTAATTAATTTTCTTACTACATGTTATAAATTTTATATTTGGTAAGTAGATAATATTGTAGTTAGACTACATTATGCATTGGATATAATTTTTTAAATTCATAGTCGTAAATTTATATTTTTCCTACATGGTTCACAATCCATCTAATTTTTTACATTTGTCAAAATTTATTCTATAACAACATTAGAATATTGGAGATGCTCTTAAAACATTGACACGGTACATAATGATAAATTAGCTTACTAATTCAAAATTGTCATATTATTATTATTTTATTTATAAAATTTTTTATTGAATAATATAAATCAAGAATTTCTATAATATAATTATCTTTACTAATAATCTAAAAAACCTTTTAATTACATTTTATTATAATTTTGAAAACAATTTTTTAAGACCATTGAAAGGGTGGTTTTATGATAGTACATTTTATTATAATCTTTGAAAATTCTTTAAAACATTTATAAGTGGTGATTTTGGTGGATTTGTATAACTCCATTGATTTTGTGGATGTTTTTTTTTGTTTAAAAAAAATTGAGAGTAAGTTTTGGAACTTATTACAACTGTACTTACTACCTAGTATAAATACAATGTGCTGGTAGTTAATTTAATTGATAAATGAAAAGGAAATTAGTTATAATAAGTCGAATTTATTGGTATGGAAAATCAATTATATACATAACTTTTGAAAGCTAAGAAAAAATTGATTTACTTTTTAAAAGAAATATAATTTTGGATTTCACCTATTGTTTGGATTGGTAGGAAACAATATTATTATCATCACTTATTTTGATTTGTTTTTTTTATAGAAGTAAGTTTTTTGAAATCAAAATAAACTTTTATATTGATATTAAAATATAATTTATTTTTATATGATTTTTTATATTATAATGTAGTTTCACTGAAATCAAAATAAACTTTTATTTGTCATCCATTTATATTTGATCCACCATATTTCTATTCTCTCATTCTTCATTTCATCATTCAAAAATCAAAATAAAAAATTCACATAAATTGCTTGAAAAAAAAATCATCATTCAAAAAACAAAATGAAAAGAATCACATAAATTACTTGAATAAAAAAGAAAATTATGAATTCAAAAAATTGGCAATCAAAGAAGGAACTGAAATAAGTGATTAGTTAAAAATAAACATGAACAATGTTCCTTATAAAACCCATCAAATTAAACTGATGCCTATTGTCTACTACACCATTCTCCCATGGAAAAAAAGTTCAAATTTTTTTGAGTGGCAAATTTCAATAATTTTTTTTCCATTAGCCTATTATTTACTCACAAGAAAAAGATAATTTTTTGCAATCTGATCTTGTGCATATTTGTAATCACCTTCACAAAACCAGCAAGCAAGATTTTATCCCCATTAAAGCAGAATTCATTGCAGAGGGAGCTAATAAAACCCAACCCCCACTCTCGCTCTTCCAACACAACTGTTTTCTCTCAATTTAATTCATAAGAGACAATTGTTGGTTGGTATTCCCTGTTTTTTTTCTAAGTAGTAGAGAGTCAGTGAATAAAGAGCCAAAAGGGGCCAACTTCTCACCTGCAAAGCGGTGGTTTTGTTTTTTGCTGAGGTTCTTACAGTCCCTCCTAGAATTGAGACTCAGGTTTGATGCAAGCAAACACCTTTTTTTCTTCATCAAAAACCCTTGTTTTGATATATAGGTTCAGCTTGTGTATCTGTATGTTTCTTAATTACATGCCTAAAGATTTCTTGGGTTCTTCAGAAGAGATAAAAGGGTGTCTAGGTTTGGCATTGTTAACTTGTGTCATTTTCATGTTGATTTTGGGTTCTGTTATGCGTGTTGATGGTTTTTGGAAAGTCAGTGGAGGGTTGGATTCATCTGACATTTAGTTTTAACGTTGTTGTGTTGAAAATTAGAAAATGCTTGCTTTTGTTTTTGTTTTTGTGTTTTCTGTCTTTTTGGTTTTTGTGTGTGTGAGTTCTGTTTTTGTAGGATTAAATGATGAATTGAATAAATTTTCTATCATATACAGGGAGAGCCAAGGGGTTGGTTGTGAGTGATTCAGTCGAATTGTAGATTGGAGCTAGGTTTAGGATTGGGAATCAAAACCTAGGGTTCATTGAAATGGATTTCAAGAGAAAGTCGAGCCCTACACAAACGTTGGTCGATTCTGATGACGACGAGCCTATTGGGGTGCTCTTAAAGAAAAAAAGCACAAAAATTTTCAAAAAAGCCAAGCTGATTGAAGATGGTGGTGAAAGCCTGGCCAAAGGGCTCGAGAAGATGACCCCTGAGAAGGATGAACATGCTGGCATGGATGACACGCTAGCAATTTTTAGGCAAAAATTAAGGGGACCCAAAAACAAAGTTGGGTGCGATATAGCTGTTGGGAAAAAAATGAGCATCAACGGGATGGAGGCACCATGCCAGTTTATTGATGAGCCAATTGGGAAGGATACCCAATTGTTGGATGATGGGCCGAAGAAGAATTCAAGTGCTGGCTCAGAGTCTCCTGTTCGGATATCCAAGTCCGATAGTTCATCTAAAGATGCCAAAACCGAGGATTCTACTTTGCCTACTGCGGGTGAAATGTCTCCTTCCAGTTTGCGAACGTGTCCCGTGGACATCAGTCTTGAGATGGACATGGATTTAGATCTTTCCACTAGAATACAGATTCAACGTCCATCTAGAGACCATGCTGGAAATGGAAAAGCAGCAGCTGTAGCGGCTGGGCTGAAAGCTCGTGCAGCTGGGCCCCTAGAGAAAATAAAATTTAAGGAAGTCTTGAAGCACAAAGGTGGACTTCAAGAATATTTGGAGTGCAGGTCAGGGCCTAGTTGTTTAAGTTAATTGGCTTGCTTTTCATGACTGCTATCATTATCATTAATTTTGTTTTCTTGAGCCAATGATATTTTATAGTTCAAACTTATAGCTTCTTTTCATGGCTTGCTTTTCATGGCTTGCTTTTCATGACTTCTCTTCGGATTTGGATTCTTGGAATCAGATGTTTTCTTCCCTTGAGACATTTATTTTATGCTTCCTATTTGTTGAGCTTCTAATCGTACTTTGTTGAACCTTGTTATATGCTTAATTGGTATATTTCTACTAAATAATTTGACTGGTTGTTTAACCATTGTGCAGTCATGATGAGATCCATCACCTTTTGAATAGTTTCTGTAGTTGTTTTTCTGCAAACTCCCTGGGATTCAATCAGTTGATGCTTTGCAGGAACCATATTTTGAGTGTATGGAACAAAGATGTCAACCGCATTTTACTACTGGAGGACTTTGGTGTGTCGGAGGCTCCATTGGCGGGTGAAAGCAAACGTGATTCTCTGATTAGAGATATCTTCACCTTCCTCGATCAATGTGTAAGTTTACCATTCTGAATCAGTTTAGGGTGAGCTACACTTTGGTCTGTACCATAAACTGCTGAAATAAGTACGTAGTTATCAAATAGATAGTCTGCTAAATGACTGGAGCATGTTTACAGATAAATAGGTAACACAGTAATTAATCATGTAAGGGAACTATCTTTCAATACAAGTAAGACTAGATGATAATTAATTATTGTACACCACATAAGCTTGATGTTTTTGAAAGCGATAGAATGTTCTATAACCCACCTCCTCTTTTCTTATAGAGTTGGTTTACCACTATTTTATTGCGTTCGGTTTCATTATATTACTGTATCATTTAATGTAGGAGTAACTTACGTAGTGGTGAATGAAATCTGAATGAGGAACATGTAACATGGTTGCTAGAAATTCAGGTTTAGTTTCTAGAATATTTCTGTTGACTAAGGAAAAGGAACCAATTTATTGGGATCACTCAAATTCTCTCAGGATTTTCTATCAAAATTTTACAAATCTAAGAAGGCATGCATGCATACATAGTTAAGGACTTCTTAAACCTGCTTAAAACTAAGTGAAATGGGATGAGTTAGTACACACCCCTTGTCACTGTGCCCTTGCCGATGTGAGTTAGCTCCAGTTGAGAAAGACTGAGTGATGCATGAAAAGGCAATTATAGACTCATATCTATAAATTTTGGTGGTTAGGTTATAATCTCATCCTTTTTTTCCCATTGAACTGTGAGTAATATAATTCTCTTATAGGGCTGTATAAATTTTGGAGTGCTTTCTGGAAGGGAGAATATGGATAGCTGCCTCAAGCCTGATGCAGAACTTCCAACAGAGGAGCGACACAGAATCAACTCTGCTGGTACAGAGGATTTGAATACAATTCCTCCCAGTAAAGATGAGAACCACAAAACTACTACTGATGCACAGCCAGATTTACTCAGCCCCGAGCAAGCAGTGCGTGGTAGATTGTCAGACTCCATGGATGAACCATTTAGTCATGCACAGTATGACTCTAAACCAAAAAGGAATATAATTGTTATAGGGGCAGGTCCTGCTGGCTTAACTGCAGCACGGCACTTGCAACGCCAAGGTTTCAGTGTTACGGTGCTCGAGGCTAGAAGCAGAGTAGGAGGCCGCGTTTTTACGGACCGTTCGTCTTTGAGTGTCCCTGTAGATCTTGGAGCCAGCATCATTACAGGTGTGGAGGCTGATGTGGCTACCGAAAGAAGACCTGATCCTTCATCGCTGATCTGTGCTCAGTTGGGCCTTGAGTTGACTGTGTTAAACAGCGAATGTCCGTTATATGATACTGTGACAGGAGAGAAAGTTCCTGCAGATCTGGATGAAGAACTGGAAGCAGAATATAATGGACTACTTGATGACATGGAAATCCTGGTTGCTGAGAAGGGGGACCATGCGATGAAGATGTCTTTAGAGGAAGGCTTAGAATGTGGGCTCAAAAGACGTCGTATGGCCCAATCTGATCGAGATGATATGAAAACTATACCTGTTAAATCTCGAGAAGCTTCTGGTTTGAGTCCTCTTGAGAGGAGAGTCATGGATTGGCATTTTGCTCACTTGGAGTATGGTTGTGCTGCTTTGCTTCAAGAAGTTTCACTTCCAAACTGGAATCAGGATGATGTCTATGGAGGATTTGGTGGCGCCCATTGTATGATTAAAGGGGGATACAGTGCTGTTGTTGAATCTCTTGCTGAAGGAATTTGCATTCACTTGGACCATGTTGTCACAGACATTACATATCACACAAGGGACTGTGATGCAGATGATAAGTTGCATAGGAAGGTTAAAGTTTCAACTTCAAATGGCAAGGAGTTTTCGGGGGATGCAGTCTTGGTGACAGTGTCACTTGGGTGTTTGAAAGCCGAGAATATTAAATTTTCACCCCCATTGCCTCAATGGAAGCACTTATCCATCAAAAGGCTTGGGTTTGGCGTTCTAAACAAGGTTGTCCTAGAATTTCCTGACGTCTTTTGGGATGATGCCATCGATTACTTTGGTGCCACTGCTGAAGATAGAGATCAGCGAGGTCGGTGTTTTATGTTCTGGAATATCTCGAAAACAGTTGGTGCGCCTGTTCTTATAGCTTTGGTTGTTGGTAAGGCTGCCATAGATGATCAAAGTACAAGTTCTTCCGGTAATGTTAGTCATGCTTTACTTGTTCTTCGGAAACTATTTGGAGAAGATAAAGTCTCTGATCCAGTTGCAGCAGTAGTGACTGACTGGGGCCGAGATCCTTACAGCTATGGTGCTTACTCATATGTTGCTGTTGGATCATCCGGGGAAGATTATGATATTCTGGGAAGACCGGTAGAGAACTGTTTGTTCTTTGCTGGTGAGGCCACGTGTAAGGAGCACCCAGACACTGTTGGTGGCGCAATGATGAGTGGTCTGCGAGAGGCTGTACGCATTATTGATATAATGAATACAGGAACTGATCACATTGCTGAAGTTGAGGCCATGGAGGCTGCAAGAAGACATTCAGACATTGAGATGAGTGAAGTAAAGGACATTATCAGGAGGCTTGATGCTGTGGAGTTCTCTAGTGCTTTGTATAGGAAGTCTTCGGAAGGGTCTCGAGTTTCTAGCTGGGGCTCGATGCTGAAGGATATGTTCTTCACTGCGAAAACAACTGCCGGCAGATTGCATCTAGCAAAAGAGCTGTTAAGCATTCCTGTTGGGTTTTTGAAAACGTTTGCTAGCACCAAAGAAGGGCTCAGCACCCTTAACACATGGATTCTGGTAAGTCCTCTATTTTGGTGGTTCCATTTCAAATTTCTGTGATAAGTTATTGCTGTATATCTTTTGGGCAGTTATTGATTGATTATTTGACGTTTTAACAGGATTCCATGGGGAAGGATGGAACTCAACTTTTGCGCCATTGTGTCCGTCTACTTGTACTTGTTTCAAATGATCTGGCTGCAGTCCGCTTATCAGGTGCTTGCATGGTTCCTCTTATCATTTAGCACTCTTTCTATCTAATTTCTGCTCCTCTTAGTTTGGGTTGTCTTAGTTGCCTGTTTTGTCCTGAGTCTAGTTATATAAAAAAATTTATAGGAATATTTTCTTTCTTGTGTTTTCATTACATCTTTTTCTTTATTTTTAAAAATGAAAAATGAAAGTGAAGCTCTAAAACCATCAACAAGCTACTTTTTAGCTAATGTGATTTATTCTGCTGCCACTTATGGGGGAATTTATAAGTTTTAGGTCGTCGAGGAACTGTTATTCGCCAACATGATTTTGATTGAGCTCTTTATTTAACGACTGGCAATAATTTCTTGCTTCTGATTCATTTCACTCAGGTGTAGGAAAAACTGTGAAACAAAAGGTCTGTGTGCATACCAGTCGCGATATACGTGCCATAGCCTTTCAACTTGTGCGCGTGTGGGTTGAACTTTTCCGTAAGGAGAAGGCTGCTAAAGGAGGGCTTAAGTTGCTTAGACAGTCAAATAGTCTGGATTCGAAGAGCAAGTCTCCACTAGCTTCTGGCAAACCACGTCATTCCAATGCTTCTTCAACTGCTGGACATCAGCTGCAGTCTAATACAAGCGATAGAAAAATGGATGACAGCCCCATTAAATTGGAAGCAAAAATACTCCTGAACATGGAAGAAGATGGTCTTGAGGTTCCCATGTCTGAAGAAGAAAAGGCTGCCTTTGCTGCTGCAGAAGCAGCTCGTGCTGCAGCCATTGCTGCTGCCAGGGTTTGCTGTTTTTCTTTGTTCTCCACTTTAACCTCATATTTTCAACATTTCATATCATATTAAGGTTTCTGTTGTGTTTCAGAGGTTCTTGAAAATCCACAACCTGTCATTTGGAACATTTTATAATCACTCCTTACAATTCCTTTTGCGTCATCAAAGATGAGATTGCTTTCTACAGGTGTCAGACAGATGAGATCATGTTATACTTCATTTGGTTTGCATTGTAATCTGTAGCCCTTTTCGTCACGTTATATATATATATATATATATATATATAGTGGTTTTCTATCTGTAATATGTTGGCCCGTTCCTTTATGTTTTTGGAATGGCTTGAAATTACTTTGTGTTCACTGCAATTTTTGAGGTTAAATGGTCTGGGACATACTTATCTTCCATTTCTGCTTTTTTTTTTCTTCCTTGTTAGATGATAGTGACAATGTCTTCTTTAGCTTAGAAATGGAGTCTATTTTATCTTATGCTGCATGAATTCATTTCTCAACTATTGCTCTGTGTATTGAAGTTTAAAATCCTTGAGAGGAGTGAAATGAATTCCTTGTTTCTTTATATTCATTTTTTTTATTTTATATTGGACTTGGCCTACGGACAAAGCACACTGAATTTAGTTATACATGTACTTCTCATTCTCTGCAGGCATTAGCTGCATCTGGTGCCCGAAATGCTTCACTACAGGCCCCCAAGATTCTGTCATTTCATAAATTCGCCATGCGGGGGCAGAACACTCACATGGACGAGCCCGACAGTAGAAAGCACTGGCCCGGTGCCTCAATAGGAAGGCAAGAGTGCTTACCTGAAACAGATTCCAGAAACTGTCGGGTGGTAGATTGGTCTGCTGATTTCTCTGCTGCCGGTGGCCACCTAGACACTTCCAGAATCTCAGTCGATAACTGCTCACAAAAGGCCCACTCAAATTCGATCTCTGCTAGTCGTCAGTCAAACTTCAGAGAACACTCTGGCGAAAATATCGCTGTAGATAGCAGCTTTCTTACTAAAGCTTGGGTTGATAGTGCCGGTAGTGAAGGGATCAAAGACTACAGTGCAATCGAGAGATGGCAATGCCAGGCAGCAGCTGCTGCTTCTTCAGGCTTCACTCATGGTACGATGCAAATGAGGGATGAGGAGGAGTCGAACGTGAGCTCAAGGAAGCATGAGGCACGAGCGAACGAGAGGTCTACTATTTCACAAGTTACGATGAACAAAGTGTCGAAAGGTGGTCAACCAACAGGATCTGACCGTCTCAAGAAGGCTGTTGTGGATTATGTGGCCTCATTGCTCATGCCTCTTTATAACGCGAAGAAAGTTGATAGGGATGGTTACAAGTCAATCATGAAGAAAGCTGCCACCAAGGTTTTTTTTTTAGTTTATATTTCTTTAGTTGTCTTTGTTGTTGTTGTTGTAATGCATTTTTGGTCTTCTTGTTGATTAATATTCTAATTTCAGGTCATGGAGCAGACTACCGATGCAGAGAAAGCAATGGCTGTTCACGAGTTTCTTGATTTCAAACGCAAAAATAAGGTGAGTATGCATCTTATATTGACTACATTCTTGAATCATGTTATTTTATTATTTTTTTCGACACCTTCTGATATTCTTTTTCTCTATTTCTATCCTTTTCTTTCCTTAGTTATGCTTCTCTTTCTATGAATGTAATGATCACAAAAAGACTTTTTCGGTGTTTTTTTTTATATGATCATATAGTCAACCAACGTATAAGAAAAGATGTTATCTGGAAGATATCTTACGTGCAATTTCTTGATATGATTATCATATGGGAAAAATGTACATTTTACTTTTCTCTTCCATCACCGCTAGTCCCTTGTTTTTTTCCCTTTCTCCGAAATCTCCATATCCAGTGCCTTTGGACTGAAAAGTATTGGTCTGATGCTCTACTCTTCTATTGTATGGCGGATTAATTTAAACCCAATTGTAAAATGTAGTTATTGTAGTGTATCTAACATTCACATGAAAGAGAATAACATTCCGCATGTTTTACTTTCAATAATTTAAGATTTTGCATCATTTTTTTTTTCAATGATCCACTTTTACATGCTATAAAATATTTTCAAACAATGTGACCCATCTAGTGCTTGTTTCTGTTCCATTTGTTCCCTTCTTATAAGCTGTGCTCTCTCTGCCTTCTCTTGGTTGATAAAATTACTTCACTAATGTTTTCTTTAAAGGCAGGCCTAATTTTTCAATTTTTGTTTTACACTTATGACAGATCCGAGCGTTTGTGGACGTGCTGATTGAAAGACACAAGGCAGTGAAGCCAGATGCCAAAGCAGGATCTTCTGAGAAGGATTAATTGGTGGTTCTGTATGCAGGATTGGAAAGCTGTTCGACTTCTAAACTCTTTGGTCGAAGCAGTCACTTAAATCCTCTTCCTTCTAAAGCTTGAAGAAATGCCTAATAGTTTTTGGTCTAATGACTATATAATGACATATTAGCAAAGAGCTCAAAAGTGCTGTTTGCAATCATAGCAAATGCAAAACAATCCTGCAAAATGGGGTTGCTTTGTCGAATTTGTTTATTTTTAATTAAAAGAAATGTATTTTGTAGGCTAGAAAGTAAAGATCTAACATTTATCACCTGGGCTTAGAAGAGAAATGATTTTTTTTTTGGGGTGTTTTCCTGACTTTGGGATTATGTACAGTGTAGATTTTGGTTGCCGAAAACAAGTATACATGATTCTTCTTCAGGAGCATTACTTGCTCTTATCTTTAGTTTTATTTTACTTTCTCGGGGAGAAGAGTTGCTGTCTAACAAAAAATTTTCAAAAAAAAACTTAATTTTTTAGCATGACTCGACTGTTGGTATTCCTCGGCTTCAAATCCGATCCTGGAAGAGGTAGGTATGAAACTTACCTCTCTTGTCACCATGCTCATGTGTCTAAAAGGTAATTCGATTGATTTAATTACCGACCTCGTGAGGAGTGAGATGCTATGTGATATATGTGCTTCATGATCACCGTCTTCTAATGCTCCACGAAATGAAATTTTAATCCAATTGACATTTTCATGTTTGCTGGTGGTGATATGAATCTGCATGATTTGTGTTTAGAAGGAAGTGCATAGTCTTTCAGATCGATGTATGTTCATCCTGTGGTGGCTATTCTTGTTGAGAATTTGTATTTATATGTGAAATTACTTTAGAACTGCAGATTATCTTAACCTCTCACTCGTAGGTTGATGATATATTTCCTTAATTTATAGTCTGCTCCGTTTAACTTCCAATATTCTTACATCATCGACAGGTATGATCTATAGTCTTTATAGTAAAGGCTTCGTTGTTGTTATAGAGGTACATTTAATTCCTATGGGTGTGTTTACATTTTTCTGAGTCAGATATTTCATTCTTATGGTTGCAACTTATACATTTCTAACCGGTAGCCACAATTCAGTTTTTGTTTACAGTTCAATTTTTGTTTCTGTTATGGCTAGCTTCGATATGTCTTAACTCCTTCATTTGGCTTTCTGGTAGGCTATCATAATATGGTCGATTTCTTGTTCAATGCTCCCAGCAAAACCAATTCCCACGCCTTATCATGATTTTTCTCCGCATTGACCTTCAAGAATTTAGGTAAATTGCTCCCTCTTGTTTTCCTTCTCTCGGTTTATCCTTTTTTTCACTTTGTTGTTTTCTTCAAGCTTCTGGTGATTAGTTAATAAGTTGCTGATTGGACTATCGGCTATCAAGGGTCTTTTGAGCACGGTCGTGGGTCTGTGCGAAAGTGAAACTGAAGTAGTTTAAGGCCGATTAGAATGTATGCTTTCAATCTTCTTACCTTGTTTTGTGT